CTGTTAACGGCTATTGAGAAATATATATATATATATATATATATATATATATATATATATAATAAACATCGTACAACAGGTCTTTAAAAGTTTTGACTTGATAGAATAGTGTTATTTTGGTAGAAAGGCGTGTTCCTTGGTCAGCTGGTCGAGGAACAGATTTAAAAGAATTTCCAAAGAAAAAGTCCTTGGTGCTTCAATTTTTCTTCAGGATCATACGGGTTCTTTTCGACATTTTTTTTTGTGATTCTTTCATTTGTTATTCATTCATGAAGTAATGCAAATAAAAAAAGAGATGGGAATGAGAGAGATGAAGAAACGAAAAATAAACGAACGAAAAAAAAATTGGTTGAATGAAGAATGAAAGAAAAAAAAGAGAAATGTTCTAAGGAATAAAAAGACTAAAGACTAAAAAAGAAAGAGAATGGAAAGAAGAAAGAAGAGAAGATAAAAGAGAAAAAGAAAGAAAAAAGAAAGAAAGAAAGAAAGAGAGGAAGAAAGAAATAACGGAAGAAAGAAAGAGACAAAGAATGAACAAACTGAAAGGAGAAGAAAGAAAATTGACGGCAAAAGAGCGAATGGAAAGACAAGATGAAAGAGAAGAGAGAGAAAGAAAGAAAGAAAGAGGGAGAGAAAGAAAGAAAGAACTGAAAAGAAAAGGAAAAATTAAGGAAAAAAAGGAAAGAGATTTGAAAGAAGAATGAAGACAAGATTAAAGAGAAGAGAAAGAAAGAAAGCATGAAAGAAATACAGAAAGAACGAATGACGGAAAGAAAGAGAGGAAGAAAGAAAGAGAAAAAGAATGAAAAAAATTGAAAGGAGAAGAAAGAAAATTGGGGACAAAAAAGCGAATGGACAGACAAAAAAAGAAAGAAGAAAGAAAAATTTAAAAAGAAAGAAAAAAAAAAGGGTAAAGAAAGAAAGAAAAAAAAAGAAAGGGAGAAAGAAGGAAAGAAATGAAAGGAGAAGAAAAAATTAAGGACAAAAAAGAAAGAGATTTGAAAGAAGAATGAAGACAATTTTAAAGAGAAGAGAAGACAAAGAAAGAAAGAAAGAAAGAAAGAAAAAAGAAAAAGAAAAGGAAAAGAAAAAAAAAAAAGAAAAGGAAAAATAAAAAAGAAAAAAAAAAAAGAAAGAATTTTAAAGAAAGAAAAGAAAATGACAAAGAAATAAAGAAAAAGAAAAAAAAAATGAAAACTTAATAAAGAAAAAGAAAAGAAGAAAGAAAAAAGACGGAAAGAAAAAGAAAAAAAAGAAAAAAAAGAAAGAAAAAAAAGAAAAAGAAAATGAAAGAAAGAAAAAAAAATGGGAAAAAAAATTGAAAATTTAAAAAAATTCAATGGAGGAATAAAAAAATTAATGGAAAGGAAAAAAGAAAGAAAAAAAAAAGAAAGAAAGAAAAAAAAGAAAAAAAAAGAAAGAAAAGAAAGAAAGAAAAAAGGGGAAAAGAATGGAAAAAAGATGAATGAAAAAAAAAAAAAAAAAAGGAAAAAAAAAAAAAATAAAAAAAAAAGAAAAAATAAAATGGAAAGAAAAGAAAGAAAAAAGTTTTAAAAAAGAAAGAAAGAAAAGAAAAATTAAAAGAAAGAAAAGAAATGGATAAAAAAAAAAAAAAAAAAATTAGTAAAAAAAAGAAAAATGAAAAAATTTCAAAAAACGACAGATTGAAAGAAAAAGAAAAAACGAAAAATTGAAATAAAAAAAAAAACCTGATTAAAAGAAAAAGAAAAGATTTAAAGAAAATATTTCCTCAATTTCTTTCAATTTATTTGAAAAACTAAAGAAAAAAAAAAAAAAAAAAGAAAATAAAAATTAAAAAAAGAAAGAAATTATTTTGTGAAGAAATATTATGAAAATAAAAAAAAAAAAAGAAAAAAATCTTTAAATTTTTTAAAAAAAAAGAAAAAAAAAAAAAAAAAAAAAAAATAGATTTATTTAGAAAGAAAAAAAAAATAAATAATATAAATAAAAAAAGAAAAAAAAAAAATTTTTTTAAAATAATAAAAATTTAAAATTTTTCATAAATTAAAAAAAAAAAAAAAAAAAAATTTTAGAAAAAAATAAAAGAAAAATTTAATTAAAAAAGAAATTATAAAAATTTTTCAAAATTTTCAAAGAATTTTTAAGCCAAAATTTAAAAAAAAGAATTTTTTTTTTTTTAAAAAAAATTTTTCTTAATTTTTTATCAAAAATTTTTTAAAAGAAAGAAAGTTTTACGAATAAAAGGATTTTTATAATTCTTCTTTTTTTTTCAAAGTAATATAACTATTTTTTTTAATCTTTTCAATAAACATATATCATTAATAATATAAAAAATATTATGATCTATCTCTATTGTTTATATATAAATATTTCTGTTTTTAATTTGATATTAAAAATAGAAAAATTTAAAGAAAAAAAAGAATTTTCCCATTAAAAAAATTTTAAAATCTCTAATTTAATTGATATTTCGATCTAAGATAAGTTTTTTTTTTATTTTTTTTTTATTATTCAGGATCAGAAAATTTTTTAAAAATTCAATTACAAAATTAGATTTAAAATACATATATATATATATATACATATATATATATATATATATATATATATAAATATATATATGAAGTCAAAGATTGATTTTTCAAAGAGAAATGATAAAAAATAATTTAGAACTTTTGATTTTAAATAAATCAAAATAAAATATTTTTTCTATTAAAAATTCATTATTAAATACAAATATTTAAATTTTTCATTTTGATTTAAAGAATTTCATTCAATTATTTATTTAAAAATAAAAAATTATTTCTTTCTTTATATTTTTTTGAAATGAAAGGCTTTCATTTCTTTCTTTTGAAAACAATTTTTTTTTTTTTTTTTTTAATTTTTTTTTTTTTTTTTTTTTTAATTGTTTCTTTTCTTTTCTACAAAAACAAAATTCGAAATTTTTAAAAATTCGCCAAAAAAAAATAAAATATTAAATCCTTTCAATATAATTAATTTTCGAAATAATTTTTATAAAATATTTAAAAACATAAAAAATAAAAAAAAAAAAAAAAAATTAGTTTTAATGTTTTTCAATTTTATTTTTTTATAAAAAAAATATTAATATAATCTATAAATATTTTATAAATCTATATTTATTAATTCTTTTTGTTATTTTTTCAATTAATTTTATTTTCAAATTTTTATTTCATTTTATAAAGAAAAATTTGAAATTACAATATCAATTTTTTTAAAATAAAATTTTTAAATTTCTCTTTTTATGCATTTTTATTAATTAATTTTATATATATATTTATATTAATTTACATAATGTTTCTTATTAAATATTTGTTTAATTTTAAATTATAAAATAATTTTGGAACTTAAAAAATTTATACAGTAAAAAAAAAGAAATGAAATTTTTAACTTTTTTATAAAGATTATAATATTTAAAATTTCATTTTTCTTCTAACCTTTTAAAAATGAATCATAAGCAAAACTAAATTTTCACTAAGATTAACAACTGAGAAAACAGATTTAAATTAATAGATAAATTTGACAGATAGATATCAATTTTGAATTTTTTTCAATTTTAATATTTACATAAATAAACAAAAGTAAATCCTCAATAAATTCCTTTAGATTTCTAAAGATAAATAATAAATATTATTGATTAAAACAATATTTTATATAAACAGACTGATTTTAGATAGATGGTAGATATCATTATATTAGATAAATTACATTTCTATATGTATAAAAATATATGGAAAGATATTTCATTAATATATATATTAACTATAGATATTTGACAAATTTTGATAAAAATGAAATAACAGTTTTTCGAGAATGATTTTTCCTACATTTTAAAAAAAACATGAACTGATTTAAACTAAATATAAATAAAAATAATAAACAGACTTAAGATCTAAACATTAAGATGCGATTAATTTTGTAAAAATATAGATATTTAGATTGATTTTTGATAAACAGACTGAGATTTATTTAATTTTTAAATTTTTAGATCTATTATTTTAGATAAATTTTACTAAAAAAATTTGACTATTTATTTATTATTCAACCTGCTAAATTTTAATAAAATCGATAGATAATATATAATTTTTAACATTAATAAAATAATAAATAGAAATAAATATTTAGGAGAAATAGAATAAACAGACTGATCATTTTTTTTTGATAGATTGATAAATTGAATTCAATAGACTTTTATAGATTTATTTTTGAATAAAAATTTGGAATATAAAAAATAAAATAGATTATTTAATAAATTTCATATAAAATAGAAATAATCAAACTGAGTGAATATTAATGAAATATATAAATATTTATATATATATATAGAATATATATATATATATTTCATATAGATAAATAAAATATACAAAATAAAACTGAGATTTATATTATATAATTGATAAATATATTAATGTAAATTAATTTAAATTTTTTTAAAATAAACATTTTTAAAGACTTTAGTTTATTAGATTTAAATATATATATAGATAGATAAAATGTAAGATTTTTTTGATTGTATTGAAATTATATTGAATATAATAGATTATAAAATTTATGAAATAAAAAAAAATTTAATCTAGCTCAAAAATTTTGGCATTTGATTTTTTTTAATTTTAAGTATAGTTCAAACTTTTGTTTACCAGCTTTTATCATATGTTTATTTTTGTAAATATATATATAATTTCAACATATTTTCATTCTAAAAATTTGGAAAGAAAAAAAAAATTGAAAATTAAATTTTCTAATTGGGTTCATATTTTTAAAAACATTTTTGCTTTAATTTTGGATGTATAAATATGGTTAAAATGGATAACTGATCGGAAATGACATAATGATGGCATAAATTTTAAAAAGATTTATCTAAATTTTTGTTATTTTAATTTTTGTCGCCCCTTTTTCTTTTCTAGGGATTTTTCAAATTCTTTTAATCACAAAATCTAAAACTTCTATTTGAATTTAATAAATTTCAAAGTAAATATTAAAATAAAATAAGTTTAAAGGACTTTACCTAAAAAATTTATTCAATAAAACAAATTTATTTTGAAAATCATTCTAAAAAATCTAAAAATATATTAACCTCCCTATAAAAATAATGGAAATAAAACTTCATTTTTTTTTAAATTTTATAAAAATTACTAATAAAAGAAATAATATATATATATTTTTCTATTGTCATAGGAGTTTATATATATCCGATCCATATATATATATACTCACCATGGCTTACTATCAAATCACTTGAAAACAATGGTTCTCGTTCGATCACCGAAATTAAGCATCGTAGAGCCAGGTCAGTACTTAGATGGGGGACCGCTTGGGAACACCTGGTTTGTAAGCCCTCAAAGTCCAACCCTTACCTCACAGTCGGTGGGGGGTGTAAACGGTAGTGTCAGAGCTATGCCGCCCGAACTTCGTTCCTGGTAGGGCCACCCAAGGCGGACAGGTCTGACACACACACCGGCTAACAAAGGCTCTGGTGAAAATCCAAAAGCGTCTGCATCGGTAACCAGCGGCTTCTGGTCGTTCCTGTCTCTGCGTCTGTGGGAACCCCTCGGCAAATTTAGAACGTTATCCGAGTAGGCCTGGGTACCCTACTTCTGTAATTTATCCCAAGAATCTTCTTCTCATAACAGGAAGAAGCCATGCTCAATCCGCCCAGGGTGAATGCCGCAAAACATTTACAGTATATGAGTTTTGCACCATTTTAATATATATATATATATTATAAAAATTTTATAGTCCTTTAATATAAGTTTTTAAAATGGGCCTGATTTTAATATAAACATACTCAAACCAAAACTTAATGGGAATGAATAATTGGCCTAAATGATAAATTGAAAAATGAAGTTTAAGATTGGAATAATTATAAATATACAAAAAAAACATTCTTTTAACGTGAATCTTTATATAATCCTTAAAATTTTTATAGGACGTGATATATATAAATATCTATAATAAAAATCATTGGTTAATGCAAAATTTATTTAAAATTCATCTAAAAATTGCTTAAAAAAATTAATTGATTATTCAATGTTCTATACGAAAACGTATAGATTTATAAAGTTAAATTATATATATATAAAAATAATTGATAATTTAAATTATATTTATTATATTTCTAATGTATTTCATACATATTTTCAATAATTCGTCAATTTAATTTCTATAAAAATATAATTAAATTTAATATAAATATATATAATAAAATTAATATAAAATAAATTTTTATATTAAATCATTTCAAATTCTTGTAAAATTTTCACATAGTAAAAAAATTTTGAACTCACCGTAAATATTGTTATTATTTACTATATCATTTATTTTTTATGTGCCAAAATATTTAAATTAATCATTAATATATATCAAATTGTCCATTTATATATATATTTTATATCTAATATATATTATCTTTTTATAGTTATTCCCAGACCCTTTTTTTTCAATTCCATTTTTCATTATTTAGGCAATTTTTTTAATTGAAATGATATTTATATCTTTTTTTAGGCATTTTAAAACAACATGGTTGGCCTATATATAATTCCGGAAAATCCTTGTTGAAAACACAACTATACTTAAACATGAAAAACAATAAACAAAACTAAAAATTCTTGAAGCTATATACAAAAAACAGTTGAAACCTAACCTGAACAAAATAAACTATGAAATCTTCACAAATATTCTTAAATGCCTATAATTGATAACAGAAGCCATTGGTTTATACCAACGGCTTCCCATACTTAATACTTCTCGTTTTCACTCTCGCGTGGTCATGTGTGACGTCACGAGCTGCGATGCGATTTTCGCTTCCGTCTCTCGTATACATCGAGTTTGTCGTTGCTTTGAAATTTTTCATGCAAAAAAAACAGACTATCATTATTGTTTTGTCCGTGTATTGTTTAATATATTGAAATGTAATTGTCATCTTTGATAATGGCTTATGTAAGCCGAAAGCTTAGATAGGATTAAAAATATGTATCAATATGGTGATTTTCTTTCGTCTTTTTCAATGATAATGTTATTAAGCTTATCAGACAATATGAAAGGAACTTTACTTAAAATAAATAGACAAAACTTGTCTATATAAGTATGTTATAAAATCACTACAAATTGGTTATTTTTGTTTCAACACACTCTATGTCTTATCAAGTGATGATGTTGAAAATAAAATAAATGGTTTTAAAAGTTTCAGATTAATTAACGATCCTACACTAAAGGAAACATTTTACAAAAGCTAGAATAACCAATCAAAAAATTATTTATAGAAAGATTCAAAAAGATCTTGATTTGAACGAAATCCTGCTCTAATAGTTATTCATTATTATTATTGAATTCATTATTATTGAATTCATTATTATTATTGGAATTCATTCCGTGTATACCAATTATATATATTGATATATATATATATATATATATATTCGTATATGTTTAGTTGTGTTCCTTATTCTATCTTCGTCTGTTTATTTCTATTTATTTATGATATTTTTTTATATTTCTTGGTATTACTTTATTTCCTAAATCTCCGTTACATATTCTTAAAATGTCAAGATGGACCGCAATATACGGCAAATGATGATTTCACAGCATGAAATATCAAATGATTTTCAATTCTCCTAGCTTTATTTACGGTTCAGGGTACCTTAGACATCGAGGACCATTATAAATCTATTTTGCAATATTCATATATAAATATATATATTAAAATATTACAATATTTATTTCTGTGAAATTACAAAAAAAATGGCAATTAAAAATAAAAATAATTCTCTAAGGACGAAAAGTCTCTTAATTTTAAACTTATTTATTTGTTTTGCGCACCTTTGAAATTTTTTTGCATATCAAACAATATTCCTTTACACCAAAGCAACACATTGTAACGTAACAATATTTCATATATTATGTTGGTGAAAATACGTTAAAAACGACATTATTTCGTCATTATTTTTGCACCAACCTAATAACCAAATATTACACTACTGATTTGTATAACCTGTGATTGGATCATTGATAGTTGGTCTTAGAACACCTTCTGCAATTTTTTACACATCCTTCAGACAGACGCACGGTTTGACATTTGTTTTATCTGATTCAAATAATTGTGTCCTCCTATTTTGTTCAGATTTATTAGGTTGAATTAAAAATAACACTTAATAATTTCATCGTTTTTGACGTTAAAAAATACAGTCAAAAAACGACATGATTGCTTGTCATTATTTTTTTTTATTTTAACCAATCATCCACTTGATAATACCTCATTGTCTCAATGAAAATATTTTTTAGTCCCCATATGTAAAAATCGTCGTATTAATCATACATTTTTTTTAGATAAGGGGTCAGCATTGGGTTAGCTATATGAAAAAAAAAAAAAACCCAGGTTTTTCACAAAGATTTCAGGCGTCTCAATTGTATAAATCTTATATCACAAGTATATATGGTTTTAATATACGGAGAAAGAAAAGTATTTTTTGTGTTTTGAAAAACGTAGTTTAAGAGAAGAATCTTTCTCGACAATATATTTCTTCGATTTATAGAATTTCTTTGTTGTGAAATTTGCCGGAAACAAATGAAATCTTTTTTCCCCTTTTATGCTACTATTACTATTATAACCCTATTATAATTTTTCCCCTTTTATGCTACTATTACTATTATAACCCTTCTGTACATGTCTGCTGTTACTGAAAATGAAAACTTGACCCAAGTATCTTATGTTGTTAAGCTTGTAGCCGTCAATGCTAAGTCCCGGCAGGATTTCCAATTCTCTCATCTTTCGCTGTATAGATTGAATAGGTCCGGTGAGAAGACACATCCTTGCTTTACGGCCCTTATAGTATATTAATTACACATTTTGCTGTATTAATCGAGGTGGACATTTAAATGGCATAACGAAAGTGGGATTCAATTTGATTTCTCCTCTGTCAGTCTTTTCAAAAGATAAAACAAGGTGAAGATATTATATAAACCTGTTTCAAAGTAAATTGGAGCAATAAATGTTTAAAATTCAAAATTCGCATTGTCTATCTATCTGGCCTTTCCAGTTTGATCCAATTTCATTTATTTGAATTTATATTATTCATTTTTTTTTCGACATTATTATCTATTGATTTTAAAGAATCTCCTCCTTTTAAACCAAACGTCTCGTCGACATCTTGTTAATTCGGGGTTTGCTGGTTATTATTTCCGTAACACATACGTTATTATTTGAATGCCATTTATGGTATTTTGATTAAACACATTTCACTAATGACAACGTCTGAGGATGAAGTGTGAATAAAAATAAAAATATTTAGAGACATGTGAAAATTTGTCATTTTTATTGTTTGTGTGTCTGTTTTAAATAACATACCGAGAGATTGATGTAAAAAAGGAATTGTTAAAAAAATTTTATAGAAAAAAGAAAGAAAAAATTTTTATAAGAGACATGATTTTATTTAAGAATGTAGATTTCAATGGGACAAATTGTATTAATCTTAGAAAGGGCGTTTTATTATTTGTGTGGCAATAGGGGATAGATTTTGATATAATAGATAATAGAAATGATCAGATAAATGTATATATATATATATATATATATATATATATATATATATATAAGATAGATTTTGATAGATAGATAAATTAAACTTTAATAGACAATGAATATACTTTGATGGCTAGATAGAAGACAAATAGATAGATAATAATGAACAGACTTTTTTTTTTTTTAATAAATAGATAGATAGATTAATAGATAGATATCAGCTGAATAGATAAAAATAAAACAGAGGAATTAATTGTTAAATAGATAGATAGATAGATAGATAGATAATTAGATAATGAACAGACTGAATAGATTTCCAGATAGATAGATTCTTAGGATGATATATATGATAATAAACAGACTTAGATATATATAGATAGATATATTAGATAGATAGATAGATAATAAATAACTGGGATAGATAGATAATTTGCAGAAAACAATATAGATAAATAGAGCGACGAAACGGAACAGTAAACATGCCATTACAGAGTAACCAAGTAAAATGTCTATAACTACGTAATTATGAAATGTTTGTTCTCTGTTCACGGTGAAACCGTTTCATGTAGAATTCTTACCCTATTCCCAACACAAATACATACCCATTTACCATATTCAAACACGCACAAACTTTATTTTCTACCCAATAGCAGACAATCTTTACAAACACACCAAAAAGCTTGCACAATACAACACACCGTTTAAACCAAAGTATCTATTACTTAGAAATTTACATCACCATTTGAAATATTTGAATAATCAAAGAAAAAGTAAAACCTTATTCCCATCGTGTCTATTGACTGACATCCATTAGACATGGCACGTGGAACTTTTTACATCTACCCCAGTGAGCAAAAATAAAGGGTTCAAGTTCGACATGCCAACCAAATTTTAAGGCCGGAATATCGGCCGAAACGTTAAAATAAATATGGCGATAAAAATGAGGACAATAGTCAAGAATAATGTAAATAGTGTACATAATATGTCATTTCAGAAATGTAGACAATACTGAAGAGCCGAAACGTTTGGCCTTGAAAAATGGCAACAAAGATGAGAATAGTCCGAATAATGTAAATAGTGTATTTAATACCTCATCTCAGAAATTTAGACAGATTGTTTTTGGGCCCAAACGTTGCGTCTAAATATGGCAATAAAAAGATGAGGACAATAGTCCAATAATGTAAATAGTGTACATAATACCTCATCTCAGAAATATAGACAGATACTGAAGGTGACGTTGTGATAAATATGGCAACAAAGATGAGGACAATAGTCCGAATAATGTAAATAGTGTATTTAATACCTCATCTTTTCATAGACAGATACTGAAGGGCCGAAACGTTGTGATAAATATGGCAACAAAGATGAGGACAATAGTCCGAATAATGTAAATAGTGTACATAATACCTCATCTCAGAATATAGACAGATACTGAAGGGCCGAAACGTTGTGATAAATATGGCAACAAAGATGAGGACAATAGTCTGAATAATGTAAATAGTGTACATAATACCTCATCTCAAAAAATATAGACATATACTGAAGGGCCGAAACGTTGTGATAAATATGGCAACAAAGATGAGGACAATAGTCCGAATAATGTAAATAGTGTACATAATATCTCATCTCAGAAATATAGACAGATACTGAAGGGCCGAAACGTTGTGATAAATATGGCAACAAAGATGAGAATAGTCCGAATAATGTAAATAGTGTACATAATACCTCATCTCAGAATATAGACAGATACTGAAGGGCCGAAACGTTGTGATAAATATGGCAAAAAGATGAGGACAATAGTCTGAATAATGTAAATAGTGTACATAATACCTCATCTCAGAAATATCAGACAGATACTGAGGGCCGAAACGTTGTAATAAATATGGCGACAAAGATGAGGACAATAGTCCGAATAATATAAATAGTGTACATAATACCTCATCTCAGAAATATAGGCAGATACTGAAGGGCCTAAACGTTGTGATAAATATGGCGATAAAGATGAGGACAGAGATATTCCAGATAATTCTATTTGTTTTAAGGCATTTGAACGCAATTTATATTTGACTTCTTCTCTGGGAAAAACGGTCTTTTTCCATTTTTGATCGATTTTAACAATAATCAATTTATTTAGACTTTTGATGTTTTGCTCTTTTTTAAAAAAAGTAAATCGTTCAGAATTTAAATCTCATAATTTCAAAAGAAAATCAAAATTAACGAATTTTTGCCTTTCTGAAAACTATTTTTTATCTCTTTAAAATCAATATTTCCCCTCTAACGATTTTCTTACAACAATCAGATTCAAAATCTGATAATGCAACTTTACACATTTAAATATTACAAATGAGTTTGAAAAAAAAAAGAATAATTGTAAAGGATTAAAAATCTACTTCTACAGAAAAAAAATTAATAAAAATGTACAAAAAACAAAAACAATAGTTTAAATTTAGAAAATATTTCTCTACAAAAGTTTATATAATACACAGAAAAATATTAACTTCAGTAGATCATAAAATTGGCAAATCATTTTTGCTATGCGGTTATTTAATCATAGTAACAATTACCATTTTTTAAAAAAAATTAATTTGTAAGACTAGACTGTATATTTAGCAAAAAAATATTTTATGCTTTCAAATTAAATAAAGAAATAAAAATTCAAGTAACAAGTTTCCGTTGTAAAAATCTTTATATTTAATCTGTTTTTAAATGTCGGTTATTCCAATTTGTTGTTTTGAAACAGAAATTTGCATTTTATATAAAAACGCGTTTATAATTTTGCTGAGAAAATTTGCACGGTCCCAAACCAGCCACCCAGGTTCGATTCCTATCGGAGGATAAATATTTTTTCTGCAAAATTTCTCAGACATTTTAGACCGGTAAATTCCGTTAAAAAAAGTATTTATAATAAACAGAGCATTTATTTAAATAATCGTATCAATAAAAATAACGTATAAACACATACATATATATATATATATATATATATATATATATATATATATATATATATATATATATATTAAAGTAATGTGTGTGTTTGTGTGTGTAACAGTATCTATTTAAATCTTTACAGGTTCACTGGGTTGTATATTAATATTTTTATTTCTTTAATTATTTCAAATTTAAATTCTTCGACGAGTTTCATATCAACATTCCATCATCAAACGGAAAAAAAAATCTGTCATCTCCCTTTTAGCATTTTACTATAGAAATGAATGACTTGATGGAAAATTCACTTTTAAATGGTAGTTTTTTTTTTTTTTTTTTTTTTTAACAGAAATTTTGGTCTGTGTATCGTTCGAACATAAGGAAAGGATGAAAGTATTAAAAAAGAGGATAAAAAGAACATCGAGATGAAAGGCAATTGAAGATGTCGATTGACATTAATTTAAATTTTTTAAGATGATAGTCATCCTTCAAACAAATTTCGGAAGGGAGTTCCAAATGTCGGAAATGAAGCAGAGAGCTATTTTGGGGATGGCGGTTAAAAAAAATGACTATTTATATATATGGATTTGATGGTGAAAAACTTGCCCATAATATAAAAATATTTTGAAAAATTTAATGATTTTTTTTCAGAATCTTTTTTGAAACATAATGATCCCTCAAACTGCAATATCTATAAAAAATGGTTTATATTTTATATTGTAAATATCTTTGATGAATTGTCAATTTTTTCATCCCATAAATATAGTGATCTTAAGACTATATTTTCATATACACAACACACACACAGACACACACAACAAAAGGTCATATATATATATATATATCTTCATATATATATATATGGAATATTTCATACCAAATTTGAATAAATAAAATAGTCAATGTTTCAATTTAAAATGAAGAATTTCTTTCGTAATTTTATAAATTTAATAACAAAAGGATTTATTTCGAATGAAATTTTTTTTAATTGAAATAATTTTTCCTTATTTTTTAAAAAATATAAATGGTAAATAGTCTATTTTAAAATAAGCCATTATCAAAATTTTCAATTACAAAATAATATAAGGACAAGATCAAAAATGAAAGTCTGATTATGTTTACATAGATGATTTCTAAAAAACGATAATATAAATTGCATATAAGACGCTAGAATATAAATATCGCCAATATATATATATATATATATATATATATATATATATATATATGTGTGTGTGTGTGTGTGTGTGTGTGTGTGTTTGTGTGTGTGTGTGTGTTTAGATTGGATTTAGTTATTCAGTTAGAAAGAAAAATATTAAAATTTTTTTTATCAAAAAAACTATATATTCCAAAAATGCAATGATGATAGGAAAAAAGTCATTTATTCTTTTTCTTCTAAAAATCCATTCATTTTTATTTTAAGATATTATCAATCTTCCATGACTTCAAAAATCTCTATTCAAGAATAAACAATATAACAAATAACTGATAAGTTTTAAAAATAAATGGTTTATTAGACCGAATGAAAACAAGACGTTGAGGTCACAACAGCAAAACAGATCATAATTTCAACTTTAACTAAATTTTTTTTTTTTTTCCTTCAATATTTTTTTCATAAAACCTATATATATTCATATATATTTATCTTTTAATCATTTAAAATAAAACGGTTTAAATGTATCTAACAATTGGAAAAATTTTTGTGTTACACCGGTTAAATGAACGAAAACAGATAAAAAATAAAAAAAAGGAATTGTGAAAAGAAATGGATTGTCTTTTTTCGATAAAAGATAAAAGAATCAAAGACGAGTAAAATTTTAAAAAACATCCTCAAGAATTTTGAAGAGTAGACACGTTTGCCGCATCCAGATTCACCAGCAAATTTATTTTCCAAAGAGCGAATTAAAATAACAAGAAATGGACATATGTTCTCCTGAAGATCTTTATTTTTTCCTAAAACGATGGTACTGTGTCCTACCGTCCCTCTTGGAGAGCAAAACGAATAGAAAAAAAAAAAAAAAACTGATAACGCTGCATACATTTGATTCGAAATTAATAAAAGGTTCGAATTTGTCGTGTGAATTCAAAGAACAATTGCCAGTGGTGAAACGGAAATGAACCAACCTGATTTTTTGCTTTGACGGATTGTTTCCGTAAGTCGGGGTTTTCATTGAAATATTGCGTTCGTAATACAGTGTATCTAGATCGTAAATAGGGCTAGGTCATGTGTTATTGGAAAAATTGATGAAAAGTTCTTAACAAATATGAATTGGCGGATTGCGTTCGTAAAAAAAAATGAATGAAAGGGTGGACGTTCAGGTAACCCTTCATCATTCGTTTAGCGGATTGCGTTCGTAATTTAAAAATATATGAATTTGATTATCATTGCGTTCGAAACCCGGGGTATGTCATTGATACATTTTATGAAGAGGCGTTCGAGTCTGAAGGACTAAATGATGGTATATATTAAAAAAAACATATATATAATTTGGTTTTTGAACTCCAATTGCGTACATAACCTGGAGTTTTCATTGAAGGTTTGCGTTCGTAATACGGTA